GTGCAATCATTTGCTCCACTTACACTCGGGGGTTCTGTACTACGCCATTTCGGAATTGCAGTGGGCTGCGCCGAGCGCGAAGTGGCTTAGGTGACATAGTTTTAAGCAGATGCGTGGAACGGACTCTTCCTGGGGCAGGAGAAGATGAGCTGAATTCTAAGCCACTTCAGTCGCGTTCAACCGTAGATCCATCTGAGCACCGTCCTTTCAGCGGAGTTAAGATGTCTCGGCGTATCGTGAGCCTCGCCAAAGTCCGGTGCGTCTTTCTTATGAGCGTCCTGGAGCACCACCGGTCAACCTTTGGTAGGGCTTCTGCAGCACAGTGCATACCATCAGCGTCACGGTCGCTCCTCGGGCATCGGGAGTGCTCTATTCTATTGATGGTTTCCCCAGAACCGCCTATGAATGGATCTATGCACTCCTTCAAGCAAGAAACTCCGTCTACTTTATAAATGAGACTAACTCAATCTCCGTCAGCACTATCTGTCATTCCTGCAGCTTGTCCTGCAGTTATTCTCTACTGTCCGCTATCAGAAGGATGTCATCAGCGTACAGCAGTTTTTCTAAGGGTCATACAGGGCGGTTTTTGTGCTCAGAACTGATTTCTGAGCAGTCCAGGGTACTTCCATGTGACCGCTGAATCTTCTGCTACCTCACTTTGGCAACGGATATGATCATTCAGCGTCGCATTCGAAAGCCTCTACCGTTGATTTTGATTGCGAGCGTGGGACGCCACAAGCATTAGGGGTCCGTGAGTGATCGTATCATATCGCTTGCTATCGTGTGATATTATCAGGTATTTTTCAAACTTGAAATAGAGATGCAATGCAAAAGCAACGAACCTTTCCATCACGGTCAAAATCAGATGTAGAGTATTTGATATCAGATAGCTAGCAACGATCGCCACCATAGTCATAATTGCACTTCGCACCGAGGCCGACACACTTTTCACCGGTCGAATTGATAGCAGTATCACTAAAGAATTCAGTTTATATTTTCGCCGACTTCTTTTTATAGGTACACGTACGGTTAGTGAGAGCAGCTGGCGGAACCAAGTTCAACTCAAAGTTGTCTTTTTGGCGATTGGGATTTCTTTGGAAAATGTTACTCAAGACAAACGCCAGTGCGGGGCTTGTGTTCGTTGTTACAGAATTACCTTTTATCCCGTATTAAGCTTACTCTTCTGAGGCTTTTAGATTTTCCATCTGACGTTTGGCAATCTTATAATGATTCATGTTTTAGTCAGGTATAAAGTGCGGATACTACATATTTCACATAGATCTGGGGTATCGAACAGGTATACTGTAAAAAAAAAGATCGGACGAACAAATCTTACAGCTCTATTCGAAGAAAAGCTCCTAAAGCTCCTGGATAAAGTGTTACTGTACTGCTGTAAGGAATGAGATTTACAAAAACTCATTTATCACATTTGGGATAGCCACAATTCAAGTACTTCCGAATTGTGGAGCAGCTTAAATTATGCCAATCGGTGCGATACCTTGTACGATATTAAATCTTGGCATCGATACTCTCCCACATCTACCAGGACACGCTCTCCTCCAGGTCAGGTACGAGGCATCGAACGAGACTTATTTCTAGGAACGGCAGGCTTGACTCTTACATTACCCTCAACCTACTCCGAGTCGAATATGCATTGAATCGGCCCTACAATTCGGACTATTTGCCAGAACTTCAGTTTTCATGGTATCAGTTATGAAAAGCCTCAGGCAGACTGCCGTAATTTGAAAGCATAGAAAAGAATGGGCGAACGTGCGTTGCGCGTGTCCGTCGAAAGCAGGTCACCCCGCCCACTTCGCGCGCGGCGCACTCCACTGAGGTCTCGGGAAGACATTACAGTACCACTAGGTGTGAGTGGAGCGAACGATTTGCATTTGTCTATGTTACCTTCTCTTTGGCTGACTACCGTGGAGAAAGCGCAAGTCGTACGTAAAGCCCCGCTTACAGCTGCGACGTCTGTCAAGTATCGCGGGTTGACCCGCCGCATGCGATGGCGGGACCTAATTTCGACGGACACGCGCAACGAAGCGCACCCGAAAAGAATGACAGGGGTCCATTCAATACTCCGTATCTTCAAAGAGTAGATTGTTTAGCCTTCTAAATTTTAGACGGAAAATTGATTTCACGGCGAATCTTAACGTCCACGCCTACTACAGTTTGCTACTGGCCGGTTTTCTGAAAAAGCGATCTATTCAGGGTTCATGAATAGGAGCTTGCGGATATGTGAGAATCATCTGTACGGTAGAATAGTGTTAGAAGTGTTGCAGAAGCGGATACCAAACTGATGTT